AAAGAAATAACAACGAATGTACGATTTTCAAGTAAATTTTGAAAAGGAGTCAATTTGACCCCGCTTGGTACGTTTACTGTTAAAACGAACAGAGAAAGTTCTATTCTTTCAATGATATCCCAAAACAAAAACACGAATCTGCGCGAAATATGAATTCGCACGTACGTATGTATAATGTACGTCGAACTTCAGATATATACGAACTCGTAAACATTCACGTCATTCTTATCTACTATCTTTTATTATACAAAACAAAACAAAAAAAAAAAGAAGAAGAAAATCACTATCACGACCTGGTCCCTCGACAGGTACGGATAAACGAGACTTCTACCGTTTCAAATATACGGTTGATTCGTCGGTACATGCATCCACTGTAATCATAGTTTAATCCTGGCATCAACTGGACGAAGGTTTAACCAGTGGCGGATGAGCCGCGCGCGAATTCGAGAAAAGGACGCGAGAAAAGGTCGACTCGAGGGTCGCAAGAGTACGACGACGTACGGGCTCAATCCTATTGAGACAGATTGCTTCCTGTTCGTTAAACGAATAGGATGGATCGTTCGGCGACCTCGTTCTCGTCCGAACGAAACTGTGTCCAACGACTCGCGTTTGTTACGCGTCTAGTGGAGGAGTTCGATGGCCGTACCACAGACGAATACAGAGTAAGTGTCAATTGTGTGATGCTTACGCTCTGACGGAAATCCGAGACGGAGTCTTTCAATGAGAAAGTTCGATAATAACAATAGTTGACGAAACAAAATCAATCGCAAGTCCCAATGTAATTTAATTTTCACAGTGTATCGTTGTTAATGGCTTTTTAAAAATATTAAAAGAGTTTAGTTTTCTCAACTAAAATCGGATGAGACTGAGAAACGAGATAATAATAGTTGACGAAACAAAATCAATTGCAAGTCCGAATGTAATTTAATTTTGACAGTGGATCGTTGTTAATGATCGGTTTTTTTTTTTAAACATTAAAAGAATTTTAAAAATATTAAAAGAATTTAGTTGAGATGTGATTGAGAAACGAGATAATAATAGTTGGAAAAACAAAATCAATTGCAAGTTCCAGTATAATTTAATTGACGGTGTATCGTTGTTGACGGTTTTTTTTTAAATATTAAAAGAATTTATACAGGATATCCTACAAGTAGTGATACAATGAAAAGGAAGAATGAAATTCTTTCATTAAAGCCTTCGTTTTCCAGAAAACGAGAGTTTAAAAATTTATCGTATTTAGTTAATTTTCGACGTGACAGAAAACAATTATATAACAGGAAGTCATCCTGTGGAAATAACTGAAGAAAGTAGAATAAAATTTTTTTGCAAGATGCTTCGTATTTTTGGGAGAATCAAGTTCGAAAATTTGGAATATCCTTAATTATATATAATTAGAATTAACTGAATTCTTTTTTTCTCCATTCGAGAATCACCTGGAGAATCTTACCATCAGTTACTGAACATCCTGCATGAAGAAAAGATTAGTATTTCTGCCATTAATCTTATCGACTCTTTCTTTTCCCCTCAATGTTCTTTAACACTGTAACATTGTAAGTATATTTCTTTATTTTCTGTACCTTATTGGATCCATACACAAATATTAAAAGTAACAGAAATAACAAGTAAATAGACTAATAAACATATGCTAATAAACATATACATAAACTAATAAACTAATAAACTAATAATAATAAATAAACTAATAAATAAATAATAAACTAATAAACATAAACTAATAAACATATACATAAAATATTCCTCATGTAAACTTCAAAAGTTCCTCATAAATCTCAAAAAGAAGCGACTTTTTAAACAACGAGACAAGAGAAAAGCACGTCTCTCTCTCTCTCTCCCCATACCTGTCGCGATCTCGCTACGATATGCACTCGATAATGTACTATTCAATGACGTCACGGTTGCCGAGCACGGGAATCGGGCTAGAAGAATGCAAATCGTGGCGCCGTGTCGCGCGTAGACGTCCACCCTTCCCCTCCTCGCGCCGTTTCTACGACTCGCGGCGTTTTCACTCGCGTTTTTCCCCCTCGACTCTCGATCGCGCGATCCGTTTTAGGAAGGACGATTTCACCGAGTCCCGATTACGATACCTATTTCGAAATTTCACGTTTTTACTTTGAATTGACGTACTTTCTTATTTGTTTGTTTCTTGAACTTATCCGATGATAAATAACAAATTCTAATGATAAATCTGAAATAATTTGATCGAATGACAGATAATAATCTCGTGATAAATTGACACTGCAATGAAAAGATAGTAGAATTGCAAATTCTTTTTATTAATCTTTCTTCTATCAAATAAAATTTCTATTCGGTTGCGTGTAATCTACTCTCAGCCGTAGTTGCACACTTTATGAGAAAGATACGTATCGATTAATAAATTTAAATTGAAGATTTATCACGATAAATAAACTTCATTCGTTCTCCATTTGTTCCTCGGTGCCAACGGCATGAAAATCAATACAAAGAAACGAACGAGAGTTAATGCAGTAGTTTCACTCTGTACAACATAACGATATATTGTTATAGATACAATTTTTCGACGCAGCGAGTCTTTCGCAAATTCCATCACCAATCCGCGAGGGATTAATTTGCCGCCACGTTTTCGGTTCTCGCTTTCGCTGTAAGCGAATCGTCTGCACCAAGATCCAAGATCCAAGATTTCGTTTCGAACACGCCGAGGGAACGACCTCAGTTTTCCTGGGATTTTTCTTCCTCTCTGGTCTCTCTCGGGAACGAGACAGCCATACGCGAGCACGTTTCGTCGGCCAGTTGGCCGCGTGTACGTGGGTCGTGGTTAATAACTAGCATTCTATTAATAGAAGGTAACACGAGGGCGTACGCTCCTTTCCACGCTCGATTCGATCGGTCGCCCGATCGCGAAAATCGATCACCAACGTGTTCGCGCGTTCCTCGACGATTTCGAGCGGGCGATCGAGCGGATGGAATGCGGCTGCTGTCTTGTCGTGGCGAGAGCCTCAGGTGCAGACGAGCGAGATTTTTCGCGACACACACGTACAGCTTCGTCGCTGAACACCTGACAATAGGAAATAGTAATACTAATCGAAATGAAGGTGGACCCTGCGTGAGAAATTTTGTTCATCTGAGGCGTTTAAAAATATACTTAAACTTGGGCTAGATTTGGACCG